GGCGGAACCACCTGGTCGGTTCCTCCTCCCTACAGTGGGGGTTTGGTCTCCGAAAGTCAAGCCTACATTCTACATTGGCCCATCTGATATTGTTTGTTTTTATTTGTACACCACATTTATTTTTACAAATAACTCAAGGTGGCAAATAACTCAAGGTCGCCACACTTGTGAGCTCATTGAAGCCTGGCACTCCACAAGCAATTCCATGAATAGACACATTGACCTACAACCAGCCTATGTATCCCGTCAGAATCCAAATCAACCACCCAGCCAACCAGAGACAGCATCAACTCTTAACCAACCCATGCAATCTCCCCAAACCAGCAGTTCACTTCCCAGTGACCCTGATCTGATGTAACCACTCTATCACAAGACCCAACACAAGACTCTCACTGATGACTCACACCTGACCCATCACAAGACCCTTACTTGACACACCTGCACTTAAAGCCTTTATAAACAGAAGAACACTGATATTGACTTTCCCTAAACTCTGCTGAAGATGTTACTTAGCCTGGTAATGAAATGTTTAGAAATCAACCCACAATCTTGGAGAATGAACCTTCACCCTCATATCCAACACACTTTCCTCCTCCTATTGTCCCCACAACAATAACAACCCTGTGAGGAGAGTTGGGTTAAGAGAGAGTGACTGACCCAAGGTCACCCATCTGGATTTCATGGCGAAGGTGGGACTAGAACTCACCGTCTCCCATTTTCTAGCCTTAACACTAGACCAAACTGATGTCTCCCACAAAACCTAATCTGATGACAATATTGGGAAGAGAAAGCAACAAATTTAGAGGCTTTCATCATAATCATGTATGCAGATTGCAGAAGCCACAGTGAAAAGACTTTTACATTAGAAATGGTAATAGCAGAAGCCTTAACTTTGAGATGCTTTATTTATTTCTCTCCTATCTTTTATAGTAAGTTCATAACCAGCATACTATAAAATGTTAAAAGCTGAATGCCAGTAGCATAAATAAAAGGAATAAAGGCTGTATCAGCTAAAATTATATTTATGGAGGGAGTAGAAAAATTAATGTCTTTGAGGTTTACTTTTTAAAGAAAAGGGTCTTGGAAATCTTCTTCCAATGAAGCAAACAGCGTTTTTGGGTGTCTCACCAACTGTGGGGTCTCTACTAGAAAATATAAATCCCCTGGGCTGTTCTACCTCTTGAGTGTAGTGAATATTCTTTTGAAGGATTATCTGCTCCAAAACAGCAGCAATGTTTCAAAGAAAGCTTGTAAAATAAAATCACAAAAGGGGGAATAGCTTCAGTCATAAAAGGCTGCACTGCTTTGATATTTCCTACCCTGTTTATGCCATAAATCCTGCTCTTGTACCAGTAATGAAAATTGTTGGTATATAGCTGGGAGAGGACTGAGATCCTCCTGCCCAATTCCTATCTGTCAATTAATGGCAGTATTTAATCCCACTACATATGGATGAACATCACCTAGTACACACAGAATGCTGAGAACTAGAGGAGTTGATGCCCTTTTCACAAGGGTCTATTCAAACTAAGAAGTCTTAAGGGAATTTCCTAAGTAATAACAGGATTGTAATGGGAATAGACTCTATGGCCATTCACTATGGTC